ACAATTTTCTTTTATACTGGTGATAGTGATTAGTATATAGCGGTGATTATAAAAAGTATATTTTAACATTATAATTTCGGGACATTAAAATTAGGTGATAATAAACAGGATGTGATTATATATAGGGTGATTATAAACAGGGCTGACTGTATAAATTTTTAAAATATTTTTCTCTTTTAATTTTTCAGTTTCAATATTTTTCAAAAGTTTAGCATACATTACTTATATATTTATTTTATCTTAATATTACTAATTTTCTAATAAAACATTATTCTATATAGCTTTGACTTTTTTACTTTTTTCTTATATCTAATATTTAATACTAAATTAAAGTAATATATATATTTATAATATATAATAAAAAGTATATATCAAAATTAAATCTAAATAATATTATCTTAATTAAGAATTTAAGTATACTTTTTATATTTAGTGTAAAAAATAATATAATAATTTTTTTTTATTCTGTAATTTGAAAATAAATATCTGAAAATATTAATTTTAACATAAAATTCAAAAATCAAATAATTAATTATAATTAGAATATTGTATTTCATGTTTATTAATATTTTTGCTAAATGTATAAAATAATAATATAAAAATATTAAAAACGTAATTAATATAATCATTAAATTTAACTATTATTTTTTTTTATAATCCTATTTCATATATTACTTTAGTTTTTAAAATACCTTAATATTTTATTATAATATAAATTAAAAATATTATAATGAAATAAAAAAATTTAATAATAATATTGAATTAATTAAAACAATTATATTAGTTTTACTTTTAAAATTTTTAAAACTATTAAAATAGTCATATTTGACTTAAAAATTAGGTTCAAATTATTATCATAAAAAAGAAGTTTATTTTAATAAACATAAAAGAGATAATATAGAAGGTTTGCTATTAAAATCAAGTTACAAACATAGTAAATTATATAATCTGTAATGTGATTTTAATAGTTTACCTCCTATATATTAAAATATTAAGAGATTTTTTTTAAAAGAAATGAAAAAATATAAATACTTGATGCCAACCTTTATAAAAAAATAATATAATATAAATTAATCTAGAAATATCTAATAATAAACCTTTACATATTCTTATAACTTATAATAAATGTTTATTTTATTTCAATAATGATTAATTAATTATCTGAATATCAATTAATAAATCATCTTTTTTAAAAGGAATAGAATAAATTAATTATGGTTAGTAATTCTTACTTAAGATAATCAGATAATTAAAATTAATTTATAAGTAAAAATTAGCAATTCAAATATTTTAGAAGAAGTAAGAAAATATTTGAAATCTGGTAAAAAAAAAGCAGAAAGATAATAGACTATAAATTATTTAATTAATCAGATAATTAATTATATAATTTTAATTTAAACAATTTATCTTGAAAAAATTATCATAATAATATTTAATAATAGTACTAACTATGATACAATACTAATTGATAAATTAAATACTATTGTTATAAATCCTGAGGTAAATAACTTATATTTAACATATTTTAAATTAAATATATAGTTTTTCCTTTTAATTATTCAAATTATCCAATCAACCTAAAAGAATATATAAAGTTTTAATAGAAAAAGATTTATAAAAAGATGGTTTAATTGGTAATTGTAAATAATAAAGAAAAATATAAAGTATATAACTTATAAAGAGTAATTGTTATATGTATTGTATTTTATTATTATAATCAGATTTTTTAATATAGAAATCTAAACTTCAAGTAGAAATTAAAAAATGTGATTATAAAAGTATTTTTTATTCTAAATATCATTGTGAATTAAATTATATTAAAATATATTAAAAAGCAGCCAAATGATATATAAGTGAAATTTATGATTAAACTTGAACTGGTTTATAAAAAACTGTTTCTAAAACTTTGGATTTAATTTCTTTAACTACTATTAAGCATATGCTAGTTTTAGAAATACAGCATATAGAAAGGGATTACACTGCTAAGAAGTACAATCACATAAAAGTATTTCTGATAGCATTTATAATGAACTTGATTTAGATATTAATAAATATATTGTAATTTTTTTACATTGTTTATAATTTAAAATCACGTGATCTAATGATCTTAAATTCCGAGTGGCTCAAATATTCGCTTACATAATCTGATAAAATTGTGATTTTATAAAATTATTACTTGTAATAAATAGATCATATATTTTTTTTTGTTTTTATTGATCAGATAAATAGATTTATTTGAATTTTCTAATTATTTAGTATAAAGGTACCGCACTGTATCGATTCCGTACTTGCACAGTGCCTCTTTCAAGTCTTTCTGTTTTTTGTACGAGGAGAACTTTTCTCCTTACACTCCTTAGCAAAATTCACAAAAACAGTCGCAGACCCACCTAACATTTCATTACTCGTCTTAAGGAAGGCACGACCTGTATTTTTTTGCTTGTGAATTATTTCCAAGTCATCGTCATCAAGGCCCAAGTTCCAAAACGCATAATAAACCCAATTTTGGTGTTCTAATTGATAACTTTTACATATATGATGGCCCAATGTTTGGAAATTCGATATATGGAATTTTTACATATCACACCCTCATTCTCTAAAATAATAATGGTAACTGTGGATCTTATGTTGTGACGCCAAAAAACGTAGAGATTCATCTTTGTAAAATCAAAAGAAAAAAAATCATAAATAATTGTATATTAACTATTTAAGCGGTCAACTCATATTTCGAAAATTTCGCACCGAGATTTTCCATTATTTGCTTCGTTAAAAAATTTTTCTAATATAAATCTAAGCTTACTGGGGCGTAATCTTTAAGCGCTTCTAGTGTATTGATCCGGTTCACAGTCCGTTCCTTACTGGAGTTTTCCTTTCGGAAAATTTCGGTTCCCTTTTTCCCAAAGTATTGCGAATGATGGTTTAGAAATGTTTTTATATCAAAAATCATTTCCGTTTTTAGGGGTAAGGAAAAATGTTTCTCGAATGCATCATTAGTTCACATTCATGTTGATGATAAAAAAAAACTATAATTTTTTTTTTTGAACCATGATATCCCGTTTATAAAACAAAAAAATAAATATAAAATGATTAATTCGGAAATGAGTTTGATCATTCTTACTTTTCCTTCTAGTTGGAATAATGAAAATAATCGTTTGACTTGTTGAATCCGATTAATTGATGATTGATCAATCTACACCCTAAACGAAGCTACGGAGTGTCCAGGAAAACATTTATATCTGGTCAAGTTTCACGCATTTTATAATTCTGAACGGTTATTTGATGAATGCTCCCTATCATAAACAAATACTACACGAAGTATTTAAATGAAATTATTAATAAACGCCAATAACACGTTATTAGACTTTATACTTAAACAAGGTATTTCTTTCAACTTTAAATAAATAAACCTTCATTCGTGTTTCGAGAAGTACTTTCGTTTTTGATACGTCGGATCTAAATAGAAAAGAGAAAATCGTCTCTTTAAATTTTTTTTTTTGACTTAAGCTTAAATAAATGACTTAATTATACGATGACCCTTTAGCATCCGCCTAGACATCAATAAAAGAGAAATAAATAATAATAAAAAGCTTCCTATAAATAATTGCCAAACTACAAGTATCCGTAACTAAAGAGTCTTTCAATATAATGGTGGTCCCCACACCTCCAATATTCTGGACCGTGAAAAGTTAAACATTAAGAATCCACTATCTATCTGCCTATTAGAATGATATAAAAAAAAAATATTATTAGTAAACTAAGTATTTTTGAAAGAGTAAGGAATTCGTGCTAAGGGCGGTTGGGAGTCAGAACTTAAGAGTCAATGTATTAAAGGAACGACCTCGTAGAGATAATTTCTTATCAATACGTTATAGCACTGGGGTAATACTTGTCTATAGAAATGAACATCCCGGGTATTCGAACCTGTAGGTCAACAATATTTCGCGAATATTGTTGAGCTCGTAACCAGAATGGAAAACCACTACTAATACAATAAATACCTTGTCAAAAACACAAAAGTGTGGAAAAGACGCGTTCGAAAAAGTTTTAGAAGGATAGAAAAGTTGTTTGGAATTCGAGCATTACTTTAGGTATGAGGAGGAGTATGAAGGGAGGAAAATGTGTGTAAGAGTTTGAATTTGCTGTTGCTTTATAATAAAAAAAAAAAAAAGATGTAAGATCAGTTTTCAATTGGTGTATCAGCGTAATGATAGATAATTTTTTTTTTTTTTACTCAGCGTAATAGATAATTAATATATTTTTTAGTCCATTACATATTTGTTATTACTAAAAATAGCAAGTATTAAATATTTAACCACTTCTGACTGCAGAATGATCTCGTGTTAGTGAGTCATCAATGAGATTCATGAGAAATTAATGTAGACAGTCTATATAAATTTGATCGCTAAAGAGAAAGAAAATAAGAGGTAAACAAGTAGATAAAAATTCTTTTAACTGTATCTTTTTTTTTTTCCTGATTTTTTTTATTCTATTTTTCGATCTTTGAGCTAAATATTTTCTTTCAAGAATTGCAGCTGTCAAACATCAAATATTGATGACATTTGACGTTTATTAATTTTTACTTATTAGGAAACGTTACATTTTTTTATTTTTTTTTTATGTAAAAAAAAAAACCTGTTTAAACCTGGATCAGGGGAAAATTTCGATTTTTTTTTTTTCACTTTCATATTTTAATTTTCTTTTTTGAAAAGGATAATAAAAACTATAACCTTTGAACACATCTCATAGTTTCCTTCGAACTTTTTGTTCAAAGCACCTTTCTTAGTTATCGATTTATAAAATTTATCGAGAGAACATTCTTATCATTGTTATCATTGCCAAATTTAGACGCATGAATTTTTATTACGTGATGCTCCAATTTATATATCACTGACGTAAAATTCGGAATACAGATTTCCCGCATAAATCAGAAAACGTGAAATTTATGGTCGATCGTGTGAAATGTATATTTTTACGGTAGTGAAACATGAACATGTTAAATAAATTAAATCTATATTAGTTTTACAGTAATATATAATTTCTAAAAAATGTAATAGAAAATATGCAGGATAATGAGTTTTATTACAATAATAAATCGCAAAAAAAAGACATTCCGTGGGTTCTTCTTAAGTTCATTAAATATAATAATTTGCCAATGATGTTTCAACTACTGTAAACCTGAGCTTGTTATCGTGAGGAAATCAGAAAGAATTTCACCCACGCCGGAAGTTTTTGTGATTCAAAAGGAAGTTCTCCGTAGCGAATTGTATACATAAGAAAGCAGCACAAACAGTAGAGGAAAATTTTTGCTGAGCGATGTTGGGAACAATGTTTTGACAGGAATAGAGCGGTAGGTGGGTTTGGTAGAACTATTCCTGAGAAGATGTACATTATTGGTAAAGGATCTCTGAATTTTCCAAATTGATGACATTGCCATTTATTTATTTATACACAGCCGCTAGAAAATTTAACCAAGGATTCTTTGCTATAATTTCATAATTACATATTTTAGTAAATTTTTTTATCCTTGGATTGCCGAAAATAAATAAAACAAGAAAGATTGATTCGCGTTTCATTTTCACCCGCCAGAATAAAACAGAATTTCAAACGGATTCATGATATACTGCGGCTACGATGGCTAATGTTAAATTGATTTATACTATATTAATGAATGAATAAATCAAAATAAGCAATTATTTATATTGATTATAATTCTTCACCTAGTTTTTTTTTTGTATTAAATAAAATGAGAATGGGTGAAACACCGTCAATATATCTTGAAGTTTCACTAAAATATCCCTTTACGTTGAAACTATATTATCTCATATAATCCATAATCGAATCTGATAAAAGGAAACCAGTGGTAAAATTTATAAATTATCAACCATTGAAGTTCCAAAAATAGCGTTTGTTGAAAATCCCGTTACCATTTTTTTATTAATAAATTATTTTCTTTTTCATAATAATCATTAATAACGTTTCACCAAAGAAAACAAATATTTTTGTTCAAAACAAAAAAAAAAAATGGACGAACCAAAGACTCCATTTATTAAATAAAGTAACGTGCATATGTTTTGAAAAATATTACATTATTTATGAATCATAAATAAAAGGTTACGAGTTACTTTGACAGGTGGAAAATCATTGTCTTTTGTAAATAGAAATACATAATATGTAACAAAATTTTGTTATGTAAATCGATAACAAGGTAAAGGAAATAAAAAAATTAAAATATTTCAATAATCATTATATGAATTACATTACATACATTCATTAACATATATGATAATTTAAATTCCTCGTTTTTTTGTCAAACACGTGTCATGAGAAAATTTCAAATCCATATATGGGTTGATTGCTAGGAAAATCAGGTTCCGGGAATTTTTTAGCGAAATTGAGATTTTTATTGCATTTTAGTTTTTGATGTTATTAGATTAAAATGTATTAAGCTCTTAATTTTAGTCAAAAATTTCTCGGAACCTGATTTTCCTAGAAACACTCCCATATATATCTACTACACAAAGAAACCGAACCAAATTATAAATGATATAAAATTTCTATTTCAAGAAAATATAATAAATAATAATACATTAATTAATTATCGAAAAATTTCGTAAATAAATCTCATGCTGTAAAACTTTCTTATAAATAATCTTTTATAAGATTATATGCCTTCTAATTCAAGGATAACTTCATATCGGATCGAACAATCAACCAAGAATTTTTTGTTGATTGCATATTAACTGTATTATTAACTGCATGGTTTAGGTGCGAGATAGATTACCCTAGTTATTATCAATGCATCGCATGAACGCTAATTTAAATTTCGAAATTCAAATGTTGAAGAAAAAATGAAAATGCAAAAATTATTTTTATTATTTGAAAAAGTTACTTTTTTGTTTGTTAAAAAAAAAAAAATAGAAAAAAAAATAGTTACAGGAAAAATATAAATGTAAAAGAAAAATATAACATGAATTGAATTGAATATGAATCTATCTATTGATATGATCATGATTTTCAACTTTATCGCTTGAATCATTAACAACTTGTAAATATAATACAAAGCAAACATCACGAGTCGTACTCCCTCCTATTCACTTAATTCAATGTAAGGATAAAAATCAGGATCTTTTTTATGCTTTTTACACTCTAGGGGTTCAAAAACACCAAAATGTTTTTTAAATTTTCTAGGTAATTGAAAAGTCATGAATTGATTATCACAAGTTCTATATCCAAGGCTATTAAATAATATTCTTCTCGTAATAGAAGGAGGGGTGGGTGGTAAGGGTAAAGGCAACACTTGTACTTGTCTACTTCTTTCAATGAATTCTTGATTGATCCTTAAATCATGATCGGTAGGTTTGTTACACTCATCACAATGTAGGTAACCTGAAGTGAATTCTATATTGGCCAATTTGGTCAGAGAATTCGTGTAGGAATTGTACTTGTTGGTTAAAGAATCCCGAGTATATGAGGAAAGTCGAGAAAAGGTTCCTTTTCTTTTATACTCTGGAAATTTGTCTAGGACCAATTTGGATGATTCTTTGTAAAGGGATCTAAAATTATATATATCAGCGAGCAATAATGAATACAAAGGATTCCTACGAAATTCTCTCTCCAGGAACATTTTCGCGCTTGTTAAGACTGAATCAATGATGTATTTTTCTGAAAATCTCAAGAATTCACCGACGTTATTCCAATCTATCACGATGTACGTATTTGGATAGATATACGATAATAAATCTTCGAATGTCTTGCTCTGTTCTCCCTCTAATACTATTTCCGGTATATTCTCCTCATCGGAAGGTGAATTTGGAACAGCGCAAGTAAACATGTCATAAAACATTTTTGAAGCTAATCCTATAATATTCTTGTGTATGCGAAATATTGTGCTCTCTACGATAAATAAAATATCTCCGTCCGAATAATAATGTAATTTACTATTTTGTTGAGACATGTTTTGATGGCTTTTTTTTTTTTTTTTTTTTTTTTTTTTTTTTTTTTTTTTTTTTGAAAAAAAAAAAAAAAAAAAAAAAAAAAAAAAAAAAAAAAAAAAGATTACGATAAGAAAAAAAAGTTCAAGGGGATGAACGATAAAAAAAAAATTATTGGGATAGTGAGAAAATAGGGATTATATATTGATTTTTTATATATGATTAAATAAAAGTGATGATTACTTCTTAAAAAGAATCTTGGATCTTTTTGTGAAAATCGAATTTTTTTTTTTTTTTGCTTTTATCTTTTGGTCAGAGAAAAACTGAAAATCGGTTGTTAAAATAAATGAAAAAAAAAAATTTTTTAATTTTTTTTTTGTGTGTATTTTTGAGGTGGGGAGAGGTTGCGAAATGTCTCAATTTAACATCATTTCGATTTTTTTTTTTTCTTTTTTTTTTTATATTAAAAAATTAATAATCAGGATATAAATACAAAAATCAGGAAAAAAAAAAGAAAAAAAAAAAAAAAAACTTAAAAAAACATTTGTCGCACATGTATAAATTTTTTTGTTCAAATAATACAAATTATACAATAATGCATATATATGTATGATAAACAAATAGACTTGAATTTCACAAAAATAAATAAATAGTTCATAAATAAATAAATAACATAATTTGTTTAAGGTACATATATAATCCTATTGTAAGCTCCAATGATTGCATATAAGTGATAAAATATTCTGATATCACGCAAATCCTAATGGGGCAAAGTGTCGTTGGACAACTGGCACTCAGACAAAAAGTTAGGGTCTGTAATATTGTTTGAGAAAAAATAAATTATGTATGAGCAGAAAAACTCAGCGAAAGTGTACGTGCGTGTTACAAAGTGTTCTTTTTGTGATCAATTATGAAAGAAAAAAAAACCCAGATTCGATGTAGGAGAACACGGGAAAGGAAACAAATTTTTTGATTTGATACATTGTGATAGAATCCCGCATTCTCCCGTCTTTTCACACAACTTATGCAATTATGCTTCAATCAATGTTCATTTTCCATTTTTTTATTTTTTTACTACAATCGAGAACGATTTCGACTTTTATCTTTACCCTTCTCTCATAGGTCGTGTGACCCAAATTTAATTTGTTCAACGATTATTTGTTTTGTGTTAAAGAAACTTAGCAAGATTCTTATTATGAAGTTAAATATGGAAACAAATAACTTTCAATGATATTTGATTCATTTGGGCGTAAAGTTTGAGTAAGCATCAATAACCAAGCCAAGAAATGCATGGGATAACATTAGCCTACACAACAAAAATTTATTGTATTTTTTTCTTTTTGACAACTAATTTTGGTTTAGCTTTGTGGCAAGAGACCCAAACTCATTAATGTATCTCTTATGGGCTATTATCTTTATGAAAACTTCCTTAATGCTGATTAATTAATTGATAACGATGGAACACGCGATAATTTCTTTGTGCTTAATCACGAGTGTAAAGTTATGCATATTTCCCAAAACGGTTTCACTGAGAGAAAATAAAATCATCGATTGATGTTAAAGCAATGAGCCGTCAATCTAGTCAAATAATCTGTCAAATAGCATTCATTCAGGAAGGTTTCGATCTTAATTACTAATCTCAATAAAATATATTGTTAATTCCTATTGACGAATCAAAAAATCATCAAATTATATAAATTATATACAAATAATAATTTCTCTAAACATAATTACTTTATTAAGCTTAGTTATACAAGATGTTTGTACTTTATGATTTTTATTAGTTGAATTTAAATTATAATAATCTGTGTTTTTATTTTATTCGAAAATAGAAAAAAGGATCAATATCAAACGTTTGATCAGCAAAAAAAGTACAAAAGGTTAATAATCGAAAAAATAAAAACTAATTTAATTTTAATTTTTGTATCAACCTTATTTTACGTCACTTTCTCTCGGCAAATTCAAGACGTACACTGTCACGATTGCGTTTCTTTTTTCTTTTTTTCTTTGTATTTATTTTTAATGAAAATAATCAACCTGTCGCTTTGTCGATAATTGGTTCAACGTTTTTATACCCCACACTATTTACTCAGCCTTTTGTTTATCGAGATCGCATGTTTATTTATTTTGCTGCGGCTCATTAATAATCATTGCCAAATTGGTTTTCGGATTGGTGGTCTAGGTTGAACTAAAAGGTTACAAAACGCAAAAGGGTTAAAAAAAAATATCGTACATGGATGATAATGATAAAGAATGAAAAGACAAACGTGAAAGTTATAATAATTACTTTTTATGTGAGCCATATCGAAACGTGATATTACTCATCAACCTTTTCAAATTTTGCCCAGAAAAAGAACACGATTTACCAAAAATGAATAATACTTGAAACAAAATGTCAAATCTTTTTAATTTTTCAAAGTGTTTCAAAATTGATGTTCAAGACAAGATAAGGCTGCTTCATTATTAATTATTTCATTTTCATTATTTGTGTAGCCGTATGATGCATCTTTTCGGGCTCATATTCATCAATAAATCTGAACATCTCATATAGTTATCAAGAGAGTAGATCTTTGTGCTTCCCATTATCATCACATCGTAACCGACAGACGATAATTCAAATTCCTCCATAGATTTATTATTTTTTTTTTACCTCGTTTCGAAGATAATTTGAGGAAATGGTAACATATTGGTTTGGATTTTTATAAAGTTTACCATCGCAGAAGCTCCACCTACAACCATTAGGAACCACCATATCAAAAACCTTATTGTTGTATCTTCCACTTTTTGTCATCAGTACCTAATTTGTTCAAAATGATTTGCTCAAAAGATGGGGGAGATTCATTCATTTTGATTTTAAATGAAATCGAGATGTTCTTTTCTATTTCTTTTTCTTTTTCCTTTTTTTTTCATATAATATATTTTAATATTACATATTGATTTACAATACAATCCGCAAGGGTTTTTCTTCCTTCAAAGTGTCGTGGAATTCATTCAACAGAAAAGATCACTCTTATTTTAATAAGACGCGTGATTCTTCCCTTAACCGTTTGATTGGTTATCCCTTTTGATTTAAATAAGGAATGATTTTAAGAATGGGCCTTTTAATCCCTTTTTTAATAATTATTTTTTTTTTTTTATGTAAGGAAACTCCGAATTCCGGTTTCAAACCAAGATTTTTTCCAGGAACCGGGTAACGGGCAGAAATGCTTACAAAGAAACTCGTAAGCCGTTTTAAATCACTTTGTGCATATTTGTTTACATTATGAAATACATTTTCCCGTAAAATTTCAGGTATCCACTCCAACTCGTTTTGTTACCGGCATCGTGAAACGTGGTTGTGACACGGTGCACAATAGGAACTAGAGTAATTCAATTTTTCTTTGTTATAATCAAAAAGTGTTGTTGCCAACCTTCTATTTACGGAGGTAATAAAAATTTAAATAACTCTGTGACTTGACACATTTGGAAATTATTTAGAAAAAAAAACTTGTCAAGGTTGATTGGGCAGAATTCTATTCCTTAAAATATGAATTTCAGAAAAAAAAAAAAGGTTATATAACAAATAAATAAAAATGTTTGATAAAATGGGATTATTGATAACAAAGAAATTAAATTAAATATTTTTATAAATGATGAATGTCGTAACATTGCATACATTGCATGAGAGACTAATTCCAATGAAACCTTTTCGGTTAATTGATTTTCACTTAAATTTTTTGCAATGAATGACTGCAAGAAAATGTGGGAGCCATAGGGTTTCGCTCAAAAACGAAATTTCGTCATTCATACAAATATACCTGTCAAACCTACATAATGTACAGTATAATTCCCCCTTATCATAGGATATGATGGTATTTATTTACATTAAATATTTGATCGGAGAAATTATTTAATAAGCACAATAGCAATTATTTATGGACGAGGGCAATATCTCAATGTAATATTTGTAAAAATACGACAGATGGCACAATTACCACCATTTAGGAAAAAAAAAAAAGTCTCCTTACCCGACCTACAATTTTCTAATAATTAAAAAAAATTTTTTTTTCAATTGCGTACCAATCACCATCAATTGCTTGACGCATGTGTAACTTAGGTAATCAAATTAGTCGCGTGTCAATTTCGTGGGGTTTCTAATGCCAAGCAATCAACATCACGTTGAAGGTAATTTTGAAGCATTTACCGTACACAAACACAATCCTAACTGAAAGGAAAGATTGAAAAGTCCACGCACTGTCATTATCACATTAGCAACCTATGGTATGATTAATAAAATATGTATGTATGTGGGATATCGATCAATAAGAAACTTGAATTTTTTAAGAATAACGGATTATCAATTTGTAATGAATTATTTATTATTAATTAATATTACTATTTATTATTTATTTATTTATTTATTTATTTTTGATTTTTGATTTTTTTGATTAAACACCGATATAGAGGTCAACACTAGATAAGCTTTTTTTTTTTTTATTTTATGCACTTTGACTCGATTTAAAATGATAAATTGTGCACCCATGCGAACAATATCACTTATTGCAGGTGAAAAGTGTGGTAATGAACCTGGTGTTACATTTGGTCAAACCTTGTTTAAAGTAATAAGATAATGGGAAATTCCTTTGCGAATGAGACTATCTTGGCTGGTTTACTATTTTTAGGTGTTTCCTCTAAAGAAAAATTATTTTCTTTTGGACGACATTACACGAATTTCACATTATTTCAAATGAAAACACCTTTGGTTGGGGAGCACAAAATTCTTTTCAACCTCTTGAAACGTTGAGAAACTTGACGTTAAACAAGAGAATGAAAAAAAAATTCACCACCCATGGAACTTTTTTTGGTGTCATTTTAGTAAAAACATATATATCACAAAAGATTACAAAAAAAGTATTTCACAACACTTGGTTAACATGTATTTATTTATACAATAAATAAAGTCACATATATGTTTACTGTTTATTTTACCTTTTTGTATTATGTGCGATGTTGCGTCTATTTTTGAACATTTCATGTGTTTATCTGTTTTTTTTTTTCCAAGCAAGACACTTTCTTTCTCTTTCCTTTTTTTTCTATTTTTTTTCCTTATCGCGAAATCATCATCGTTCTTTTAAAGGTAGATAGATTGGATGATTGATATGACGCCATTTCACAAAAATCACGCGGATGAACATGTATCAGCCATATCACTGATTGTTTGCAATGCATGTACTCTGCATTCCTAATCCAAGAAAAAAATATGTAAAAGTTTCCTTTAAAAAAATGTACAATATTCCCTTTACATGTAATTTGAACCAAATTTGGAGAAATTTCATTTAAGCTTCAATGAATTAACCTTCCTTACAAATGTCATTCATAATATAAACAGGTTGGTAGATCTTTTACTCGTGGAAATAGTACGGAAATGATAGGAATGATAAAGTCGTGAGAATAAAATAATTTGCCAAAAAAACCTTAGATTCCACGTGTATTTTTTCGTGCTTTGATTGTGCTTGATGCAAATCATTTCTACTTTTCTGCTTCGTTTTATTCGTTCTACTCATAATCTGCGGATGATACGCCATTTGACCAGATCTTATGCTACACCAACTTTTTTAACGATCTTGGCTAGAGTTATGGAATTTTTTTCATCCAAAAGCTTAAAGCCAATGTCACGTGCAATCGTGGATACGACAATTTGGATGGTGGTTATTTATATACTTCGTCACAATGCCAGATGCAAATCGTACATTTACCCCGCATTATTGTACAATGCACATTGTTTCCTCCTATGGGAAAGTATTTAAGCCACATTCTAAATTCGGTTTACTACTAAAACCTTCATTATTGTGTGATTCGTATTGTGTGGTATAGGACATGAGGTTAAGCATTCCCAATATGATGATTTCTTGTTGATCAATCACAAAATCACAAAATTTTCGACTAATCCAAATTTTGCTGATCTTTGGCCTTTAACCATTTCAGAGTGAAAATGTTCTCCTACACCGAGAAAAAAAAATAAAATAATAAATTCTTGTTTTACATATTTTGAAATTAAAGAAATAAAACAAATAAATTTAATAAATTTACCTAATAAAGCTCCTTCATCATAATCGCATCCCATTCATCATCCAATTCGATCCATATTACTCGACGTGAATTTGCAAGAGTTCAACATTCGTTTTGTTATATGATTATGCAAGTTCATCAATTCCTTCGAAAAAAAAATTTTATATATTCGAAACCCTAATTAATTTTCTGCAAAACATTGAATATGAAATGCATGACCACAATTGATTTTCGCCGAAAAATTATTATATTTCCACCAGTCACAGTTTACGCTTTTTTCTTAGTCATCATATTTTTTGATATCAATATCCAATATCCTCCAACATTCAGTAAAAGAAATTCAACAAAATTATCAATTTTTATTTCGTACAAGGATATAGTACGTGTGTCGGCAAAACAAATTCCAAAAGGGATTGCTCATAAAGAATCGCATCACGGCAATCGTTTTTTCGGATAATTCCAGAGACATGACGGTGTAATTTCTTCTCAGGGTATTCATTCAAATTCAAATGATTCTTATTTAAAGAATTCTAAGGTAGGGTGGTGATGTATAAGCCAATATAAAAAATAACTCTATCGGTGATCTTGATGAAATTGAGATTAAGGCCTGACCAGAATTGGCGATCAAATTCTTGATTTTGATTAGTTATTACATTAATACTACAATCTTGATTTAAATTTTTGGTTAAACTCGACTTGTGATTAAATTGGGTTAAATTCCTGAAAAGATACTTGATTGAATGCAGCATATATTATAAATATTTTATATATTAATTACGACTATCATCTTTAAATTCGCCTTGTCTCTCTGTCATTAAATGGGTTAATAGATGCATTGTATGTGACTCAGATTTAGTAGGAAACCAATGAACACGAACTTTTGTTAACACCAAGAAAATAAAACATAAAAAGTAATTTTTAAAAAACAAACAGGATAAATTTATCTAATTTTATAGATTTGAAACATCTAAACTTCAAACCATTACCCCTTATTTTTGATGGTAGGCTCATCCAGAATTTAGTGTGAAACAAATAAAGACTACATATTGTTTTCGTTAAGGAACTCTGCAAATAAATTCCAACATTCTTTATTATATAAAGTTTATTTTTTTAATCCAGATTACTAATTCCCTCAATTATTAATCACAACTTATTAACTATATTGGGTTATAAAGTGTCCCATTTAACTTTTTTGTAACTTTTTTTAATAGCCTATCATCGATCAGTATATTAGGAAGCAAAAATAAATGATTAATAATCCCATCCTTCTTTTGTCATTATTTATCTCTAAATTTCTTTTTGAATCTTTTGATACATAATACTTCGTTGGTGTCCATAAAAAAATCAGAATCAACCAATAATTATGGATGTATTTTTCTTTTTTTAAAAAAAATTAATTATTCACCGCATTTTTTATTCACTTTACTTTTTTTTTTACTTTTTTTTTTTTTAAAAAAAAAAATTGTTTTCATTAAATGAATTACGATTAAGATTATTAATCCACACAGGAAACTTTAATCATTATTAAACACTATAAATATTCCATGCATTCCATGATTATGAATTAACAATTAATAACGCAATAGATCACCTTTAGCCAATTGCAAGGTAATTTTTATGGTAATAATTGTGGCACGAAATGAATTCAAGTCTAAAAATAAATCAGTACGAAATATATTATTTTCGAAAGCAGGTACTACTATTTATCTGCTTCAATTACCGATTTTATTTTGATGTTATTGA